GTAGGGCAGCAACATCACCCACTAATTTGGAGTGGTAATGAAAGTGTTGTTGTTTTTGTTGTTGTTGTTCAACATTTTCTATCAGTGACATGACTTTGTAGTCAATTAGCTGGACATGTTTTATTTTTTAGGACAGAGAGAGCTAACTTATTCCTAATACGTAGCTCACCATATTTAATAAAATAAGTGCTGCTGAGCTTATTAAATTTTTCTTGTCTCAAATGCAGCACATATTAGAGGGTGGGTGGCACTTATTTAAATACTGGACACGACAAAGAAATCTTTTCTTTTATTATAATGGTATATTTTCTACTTCAGTGAAAATTTTACAGTAACTAACAGAAGTGACTTTCAGCACTTTCACTTGTTCAACTTTGATCTCAACGTCCTCTTCTTGATCTAAGTCCAGTCTTCACTAGTAATGATATGGAAAATACACCACTTGGGTCCTGGATGAAATTTTGTGTGAATTTTGTGAGGTCTTGTCTTTTTCATTAAACGCTCCTGATGATAATAAATCAGAATGTTACCGGTACATGAGAAATGAGCATTTTCATATCATGACCATATGGTTGAATGACTTCCGGTCCCAGTTCTTGAATCTTTAAGCGCTATGTTATCGGTATAAACACTATTGATCACAAGACATCAAAATGTGGTGACACACTTGTTCTTTGTTCTTACCACATTTTGATGTCATCTGTGATCAATTACTGAACAGATGCACAACAACATAGAATCTATTTGCTTTTAAGAACATGTGGAGAGCTGCAGTTTCTTAATTTGTGTACAACCTCGTTTTCATCGTGCAGCTCCTTTAAAATCCGACTCTGCAACATGCCTAGCGTTTATCAGAAGGGTTGAATCCATTGTCAGACCTTAACTGCGGAGTGGCTTGGACCCAACTCATTGAGTAGGGAGTTTTTGATTTCCAGCTCCTCCACACCTAGGTTGCCCGGCAACTAACAAAACCTTATTTGACACTTTTTTTTGCTATTTCTTTAGCAATACAGTGAAAATCTTCATCCTAACTGCAAAGTAAACAAGATTCATTGAAAGGGAGTCTAACATGTGTGTCAAGGAATGAAGAAATGTTTTTTGGCTTAAAGCAGCACAGTGCTTAAGCCGATCATAACCTGGTTTGATGGAGATGGCAATGAAGACACGACGGATGGCACACAAATGCAAATCAGCATGCAAAGAGCATGATCAAACTTGTATAGGAGAGAAGCCGTATACATGCCAGTATTGCAAAAAGGGCTTTAGCCAATCAGGAAATTGCAAGCGACATGAACGAACTCACACAGGGGTGAAGCCATATACATGCAAGCATTGTAAAAAGGGCTTTAGCCAATTAGGACATTGCAAGCAACATGAACGAACTCACACAGGAGAGAAGCCGTATCCATGCAAGTATTGTAAAAAGTGCTTTAGCCATGTAGGAAATTGCAAGAAACATGAACAAACTCACACAGGAGAGAAGCCATATACATGCAAGCATTGTAAAAAGAGCTTTAGCCAATTAGGAAATTGCAAGATACATGAACAAACTCACACAGGAGTGAAGCCATATACATGCAACTATTGCAAAAAGAGCCAATTAGAAACTTGCAGGCAACATAAAAAAACACACACAGGAGAGAAGTCATACATATGCAAGTATTGTAAAAAGTCCTTTAGCCAATCAGGAAATTGCAAGCAACATGAACGAACTCACACAGGAGAGAAGCCATATACATGCAAGTATTGTAAAAAGGGCTTTAGCCAATCAGCACATTGCAAGCAACATGAACGAACTCACACAGGAGTGAAGCCGTATACATGCAAGTATTGTAAAAAGTGCTATAGCCAATTAGGAAATTGCAAGCGACACGAACGAACTCACTCAGGAAAGAAGCCGTATACATGCAAGTATTGTAAAAAGTGCTTCAACCATTCAGCAAATTGGAAGCAACATGAACGAACTCACACAATTGGGAATGCGAGAGACAGTTCTTTAAAATGCAAGCAGGATGATCAGCACTATCAACTAAGAAGACACCCTCAGGAGCTAGTTACAACTCATGGTGCGGAAAAGTCTGACATGCTGTTTTCTTTGACTGAAGAAAATTCAAGCCAAGTTGAAAGCCTCATCTGTTGGATTTGTCAGGAGGAATTTAGTAGTGAGACATATTTAATCCAACATTACGATGATCATATGAGATAAAAATAACACATTTAAGTATATGTCATTGCAAGGTATAAATCTTTCCCTTAATTTTCTTATAGTCATATTTAGTGTTTATGTTGAGCTCACTGGAACATGTCTGTTAAAGCCAAAGCAGTTCAGTTTTTAGAGGGTGCCAACTGTTTTTTTTTTTTTAAGTGTTGAAATACAACAGTCTTATCGCTAGAAATAAAGTTGCATGGAATTTACCTTATGGTCACTTGGAACAAAACGTGAATCCAAGGAAGCAGTTTCGTACTTGTATGTTACAGTGGGACCCGGTTAATACGGACACTAAAGCGTCATGCAAAAGTGTCAGCATTATTTGGGTGTCTGTATCAATGGAGATCACAGAATAAAGGTCAAGAATACATGTTTTATCAATACCAGCACAGACTAAAGCATCTTCAATTGCTAAGTATCCAAACTTTTTTTTAATCTCTTACCTGTACCATGAATTCACACTGATGGAGCCTGTCATTCATTTAAAGGTGTAAATGTGTGGCATTAAAAAAAAATTGAATTTCTCTAATACCGTTACAAACTCGACGCCATAATTATTTATGTAACGTTGATAGTTTTGTAAACAAGCGTCATTGTAAACGGATGACTTACTCAATAGAACTAGTAACTATTGACTTGTTCACATTGCTTTATTTTATTGAGGTTTTCACGAATCAGAAGGTCTGAAGAAAACATTGTTAC